ACTTTTAGTCCTTACAGTCAAAAGTTTTAAATTTTGGTGTTTTTCCCGCAAATCTTTAATGAATTTGACACTTTTCGTCCTTATAGTCAAAATTTTTACATTTTGACATAAAAAACACAGAAAACCTCCTTTAAAATTTTGCCACCATATTTTCCCAACTTTAATAACTTTAACATTATTGCCACATCATTTTTGGATTTTCTCCACCAATGCCTCTTCTTTTCGTTGTACACTTTTGACATCTAATTTTAGGGGTTGTCGACTTTCTCCCCTATTTGTGGCGATTTACAATTTTAGCACATATGTTTTAAAATTTGCCGATTTTTCCCATATTACCCCAAAAGCGGCGTAGCCGTGGGTTCTTTACTAGTTAGAATAATAGTCATGCTATCAGATGTTGGAAAGTATATACCTTGATGGTCTGATAACTCCGGATGCATCTTTAAGAATATGAAGTTTAGCCTTTTGGGAAAAATTGATCCCGACAATAGCGAAAAAGGATTCAACAATATTTCTGGCAGAATTTATCAGCGTTTGGAGTGCTCTATCTCCGACATGGCAATCAGCTTCTATAGACAAATTTTGAAACCGAACTTCAACCGTTGGAAGTGTGATTCCAGCCCTAAGATTAGCCAATATAACAATATTTTAATTACTAACCAGATGTTGGCTTAAACACTTGTAATATTGACCCAACCTTGTCGATAATTGCAACTTAAATTTTGTAGTATCATCGTATACCCATAAAAAAAAGCCAATTTTGTACGCTCCTATATAAAACATGGGTTGTCCATACAACCTACTACTGTCCCCAGTTTTCGAGGTTCGAACCATGCATGACCTTCTGAATGAGGAGTTTAACATTGCTATTCTCTACCGATGACCCGTATAAAAACATAAAAATATATAATTTGATAAATAAAAACATTGATAAATGGTATAAATATATTCAATTTACATATGACTACAATATAGATCGATGAATATAAGTTGTCTTTTTTTGCCTAACTATTTTAGAAAAACTCCTAGCCTTCTCGGTACCCATTTCATCATAGTAAGCAACAATTAGAAACCGAATGTATTGAACTTTTAATGGATATATATTTTCATATCAAACCAGGAGATCCGACTATACATGAATTTTGGTAGACATGAAAGCAAAAAAGAAAAATAGGGCAGTTAAATTTCGATGATGGATCAGAAGGACTTACTTGTCAACCCGATCTCTGAACTTCTTCAAGAACTTATCGTTATCTTCTTCAGGGTCCATAAAAATCTTGTCTATAAATTTCTGTCGAGCATTTGAGTCAAGCGCTCTTACATCCAACAACATCTGATTATCAGAATGCTTTTGCTGCTGACCTAACGGACTATATGACTTGAAGATGGTGGTTCGTACCCGACTGTAAGTAGGAAGTTTCTCCAGTGCAGCCCATCGCAAGGCCTCTTCGTCTTCCTTGGAATTACGACTTGTCCGTCCGTCATGACTACCACCTCTACCAGGGGAAAACACATCTTCAATCCGCCAACCCGGGGAAGCCATGCTGATACCCCTACTTATGCTTCTCGCCAGACTCTCGCTCACACTTGACTTCCCCTTTTCATCCATTTTTGAAACTTCAATCTGTTAATAATCCCACTAGGGTTCTTGCTTAAATACAGGTCCAGGGATTGGAAGTTTATACAACCCATTTCCAGGGAATCTTGATACTTTTTGAACGAACAATAAAAAAAAAAAACACAAAAGTTCACGTTTGGTCCCTATGATTTGGAAAAAGTCGTTTGTTATGGCCCTATGGAATATATACTCTTCACGGAGCAATCCGTGCCTTATGTGGCATCAGTGCCACAACCGTAGCCTTTCGTGGAGAGTGGCACCGTGGGACGTGGGTCACGAACCAATGGTTGGTTTTTGGCTGATTTTCAAAGCAACAGGTGTTGCATATTTTTTTTTTTTTAAAAAATCAAATTTATTATGCATACCCATCTTTTCTATATATACCAATTCAATTTCACACACAACATCTTTTAACATTTCTAACACTATAAACATGAAATTTATGGAATTTTCAGAAGAATATGATTCAGAAGACGGAGAGTTTGACACAACACTCTTTAATGTTGTTACAAATGTTGCCAATGAAGAGTCTATGCATGTTACACATAGAAGAGCTATTGTCAATTGAGGTAGTCAAGAAGCAAATGAGTGTTTGCTACATGATTAGTTTATGATAGTTGTATTTATAATGAGGAAGCATTTGAGCGTCGTTTTTTGTTTAAATAAAGAGGTGTCTTTATGCTTTAGTAACGACTTAGAGGCGTGATATGAATATTTTTAGCAAAGACCAGACGCTAGAGGTCGGATGGGCTTTAGTTGTATATAGAAATATACTGCGACACATAGGTATCTAGGTTACAGTATTACCTATGACTCAACGAACGAGTATTTGAAAATATATGTGAGAACCGCATGAGCGTGTGTTGAGTATTTTTGTGCATATGTTATAGAATTATTTGCCAAAGTATACTTACGTAAACCTACTAGACGTGGCATTGAGAGATTGTATGCGACTCATGAAGCAAAGCATGGTCTACCAGGATTGATATGTAGTCTTGACTATACGCATTGTGAGTAGAAAATTTTTCCAAATGCATGGCGATGTCAATTTACCCGAGGTGATGTTGGTGATTTTCTATCACTAATATTATTTAAGTGTAATGAGATTAATTTTTTGATCAATGTCACTTTGATGATTATCGAACAAATTAGTATGGTGCGGAGTGCACATTTGTTTGATTTTGTCATTATTGAAAGTATACTGCTATTTAGGGAGCCCCTGAACTGACGGGGGTCCGAGGGCAGCGCCCCTGGGAGCAGGGTCCAAGGGGCGGCAGCCCCTGGCTGGGGTCGAGCTGCATGACCGTTTTGTGATCCGTAATTTTGGTAAAAACACCCGGTTTTGTGATCCACTTATAGACTCGGTTTTATGTTGGTTTATGACAGGTAATATGAGCGTTTTTTGGATAGGGAGTTGTTTTCCTGTAACTACCATATGACAGTTTTAAGACAGGAAGTTAGTTTCTGTTATATGATCATTTTCGGATTCATTTTGGGTACAAATTTCATAACATATTCTTCATTCTCCCTTCTAGAAAACCAGTGAGTTTCATTCGATTAGAGATTTTGAGTGTACCCTCGAAATGTTTTAATCTGAAAGTGTTTCACAACTCTCATTGATCCAAGTATATCTATATCCCGATTTTCTAACAAAGATTAAAGCATTCTGTGATCATGGCAAGTGGTGATTCTGTGAAGGAAATGACAAGTAAGTTTGAAAAACTGAACAAGTTTGAAGGGCAAGATTTTCGTAGATGGCAGAAGAAGAGGAAGTTTCTCTTTACCACTCTAAAAGTGGTGTATGTTCTGAGTACACCCATGCCAGTCTTACCAGAATCTGTTGAAGATGAACCTTTGGAGGCAACAAGAAGAAGATCAAAGTGGGAAAATGATGATTACATATGTCGTGGTCATATTCTCAATGGTATGTTTGACTCTCTTTTTGATATCTATCAAAATTTCAAATCTGCAAAAGATCTGTGGGATTCTCTTGAATCCAAGTACATGGCTGAAGATGCTTCTAGTAAGAAGTTTCTTGTTAGTAATTTTATGGGTTACAAGATGATTGACTCCAGGCCTGTTATGGAACAATTCCATGAAATGTTAAGGATTTTGGGACAGTTTGCTCAACACAATTTGAAAACGGATGAAGCCATTACTGTGGCTGTGATCATTGACAAACTGCCCCCTTCCTGGAAGGATTTTAAACACAATCTGAAACATAACA